CCCTGTCAAGACTGGGCTTATTTTTATGCCCCACTAAATGGTAGCAAGTAGGGTTCGCTAATCTAAATCAGTCCATCATTTCTAAAAATAATTTTATATAGAGGTCTGATTTAAGAAAGGTGGGTCGCAGTAATGAAGCTAGGATAGATTTGGAGAACAGCATCTTTACACATATACCATGGACAGGGTTGGTAATCACGGTTAATAGATTACCAGGACCATGTATGTCTCTAAAATGATAGAATTAGACGAGGCTTATAACTTAAAAATCGTCATATGAGATGTATTCACCCTATTTCGTTTAAGGTGATGAAGGATTGGTAAGTAAATTTTCCCATAATGCTATGAGTAGAGCCGACGCTTCTATTAAATTTCACAGCTATGCTTTCCCAAAAGGTATTCACATCCAAGGTTGACTGCAATTTCGATCTCGCTTAGGTCCTATAAATTCCCCAGAGGGAATCGAACCATGATAGTAAAGCATGTAATCTCGACAAGTTAACCCCTACGCCGCATTGCCAAGAGTATCCTTGTCTGGTCAGAGGTGAATTGTGGAAAAATGCAACTATGAATCCTTCATTACCTAAAACAATTACATCTCATATAATTGATTTACTGGTAATCTTAGAACTTTATTTATAACCGAAAAATTTTTAATCATCAGTTTGCGTATTTGCGGTGCTAACTCGTTTAATCTCGTTTATGCAAAGGCTGAGCTTATCGCTCTTAAAAAATATTATTATTTTTGTCATTATTTTATCTACTCAGTAATAGTTAAATAACGATAATTCGGAGGAAATACAAAAGCAGTCTCTCATCAATGTTGTATCTCTTTAAAGAGTTCAGCACCAAGAAATTAGGAACAATTTGTACCCCAGCTATGAAGAGCTTGATTGTCTACATGAACTAGTTTTGATTGGTTCCTTAATGGGATATATGAAGAATTGAAATTTAAATCAAAACTCAAGTCTTTTATCCTAGTACTCGTAGAGAGTTCCTCTATCAATCTGATGAACCAGCTAAAACTGGAACGCCTCAACAGAAATTGGGGCTCTGATAGCTAAAAAACAATATGTAGCCAACTCCAAAAGCATTAGCGTACTAAGTTTCATAGTAAGCACACAATTGACTATAAAAACAAATTTTTCTCGAAAGTGAGTGAATTGAAAGAGTCTTGCCTCGCCTTAAACGTAGTACTTGTCGTGTAACACAATATGGCTGAGACCAACGGGTTTGACCCCTCCACGGTTTGAATCCTGCTGGGTCGTTGGTGAGATGAAGTTGATAAAAAAAAGTTGGAAAAGCCTTTTGGAAAGCAAGGACAAGTGAAATTCAAAGCTTTAATCATGTCCTCCCTTGAATACATCATGGACAAGGTCACTGTCACGATAAAAAACAGTCGTAAACGCTAAACCTCGACAATATACTAAGAGATCTGATAAAATTAATTTGGATGCAAAAATAACTAATTTGATATAACATTCAGCTATGTTGTGCCTTATAACACTGTACAATGCGTACTAATGACCTCAGAAGGCAGTAAGGTATCAAAAGATTGATCAAACAAATGACTAGTTATAAGGTTATAGGGACTGACAACAATTGTTCTTACAACGAAGAGAAGAGAAGGATTAATTTGGCGATGAGATTTATTGAGCCATCAAGCAAAAAAGACTAGAGGAACTATCATAATTGGAAGGCCTATTCTTTTTATATAGAAAATTGCAGAGCATAAAGGAAAGACTAACATTATCTAATCCACAAAGTATGCCGAGTACTAAAAGATGAATGCGGTTTATCCAAAGTAAAGTGAAGGTTCGACCTTGTATAGATGTAATAAAACTTTAATCCAGGGTTTGTATTATGTAGTGGGCGGCAATAAAATCGGGAAAAGATTAAAAGTGAAGTTCAGCTTTGATGAGAATAACTCTTTCTGAACGAATGTGCAAAGCAGAATCAGGCCTTATTTTCCGATTCCTCGTCAGAAAGAATATTAGACTTTGCAATATCATAGACAATGTATCTATTTAAGAACCAGATTCTTGATGACAGTGACCGAATCAGTAATAACATGATAATTGTACCTTATTTGGCATATTTCAAATACCAAGAAAGCATCATTGGTAATTTAGTGGAATGAGTGACTTATCAACAGACAATCCTGCACTAGTCCAGTTATCTGGTATCCTGATCGAATATGCGGGACTAACGAGGTGAGCTTTTTGGTTTTGAGAATAATAGCTATATAATATTTTTGATAGCTCAGAATTGACTAATGCGGTCTTAAGATTGGAGTATATGTCAAGTTTTACTTCAATTCTACGGTAGAATTTAATATAAAACTTTGCAAATTTACGTCATACCACAAATAATTCAGTCCTAGCTACTAGCAGGATTTACGTAAAAATATAGCATAACCAAATCTCATTTTCCAAATCATTTTATGGTTCTCGTTCGTATAACAGAGAGGCTATCATAATTTGAAGGCCTATTCATGTTGTATAGGAAACTGCAAAGCATTTAGGATAAATGACGCTATTATATATATATATATATATATACATAATATTATTTAATCCATATGCTGGGGAGTAAAATATGAATAAAAAAAGTCATTGAGATAGAAGCTACTCAATACAACATTTAATTATATTTACTTAATATACGTAAGAAAGAAAATTCTTTGCGCCTCGTAAAGCCATAGTTGACCTGGTTAAAGGTGACCGAGCAAACGGAAGGGCTGAACGCCACCGGCTAATATTCCTGACCCTCGCCGTCGCCCTCTCCTTCAATGCTGTCCACACCGACCTCTTCATAGTCCTTTTCTAAGGCGGCCAAGTCTTCACGAGCCTCTGAGAACTCGCCTTCCTCCATGCCCTCCCCGACGTACCAGTGAACGAAGGCGCGCTTAGCGTACATCAAATCAAACTTGTGATCCAATCTCGCCCATGCCTCCGCAATGGCCGTCGTGTTGCTCAGCATGCAAACAGACCTGCGTACTTTTGCCAGATCGCCTCCAGGTACCACAGTAGGTGGTTGGTAGTTTATTCCCACTTTGAATCCAGTGGGGCACCAATCGACGAATTGGATGCTTCTTTTAGTTTTTATAGAGGCGATGGCAGCGTTTACATCTTTGGGCACTACATCACCCCGGTATAACATGCAGCAGGCCATGTACTTGCCATGACGAGGGTCGCATTTCACCATTTGGTTGGCTGGTTCAAAGCAGGCGTTTGTGATCTCAGCTACACTTAACTGCTCATGGTAGGCCTTCTCCGCTGAGATCACCGGAGCGTAGGTGGCCAGAGGGAAGTGGATACGTGGATAAGGCACCAGGTTGGTCTGAAACTCGGTAAGGTCGACGTTGAGCGCCCCATCAAAGCGCAGCGAGGCTGTGATTGAGCTTACGATCTGGCCAATCAGCCGGTTGAGGTTTGTGTAGGTCGGCCGGTCGATATCTAAATTGCGACTGAAGTTCACCAAAATGTAGAAGATGAGTGTAGTTATATAACTTGATAGAGTGAATAGAACCGGCACAAATAGTGCGCTAAGTAGTGGTTTATCAAATTGACAAAAAAGACAAATAGATTACGAATGATGACTCACCGACAGATATCGTATATCGCCTCGTTGTCTACCATAAAGGCACAGTCTGAATGCTCCAATGTGGTATGTGTGGTGAGAATGGAATTGTACGGTTCTACAACGGCTGTGGAGATCTGAGGTGCCGGATACACGGAGAACTCGAGTTTCGACTTCTTGCCATAATCAACTGAAAGGCGTTCCATCAGAAGGGATGTGAATCCAGATCCAGTGCCTCCTCCGAAAGAATGGAAGATTAAAAAGCCTTGTAGTCCGGTACATTGGTCGGCGAGCTTTCTGATTCGATCGAGCACCAGGTCAACAATCTCCTTGCCGATGGTGTAGTGCCCACGAGCATAGTTGTTGGCAGCATCCTCCTTCCCGGTAATCAGCTGTTCCGGATGGAACAATTGACGGTAGGTGCCGGCGCGCACCTCGTCGATCACTGAGGGTTCGAGGTCAACAAATACAGAGCGAGGCACATGCTTTCCGGAGCCAGTCTCACTGAAAAAGGTGTTAAACGAATCGTCACTGCCACCGCAGCCCTTTTCGCCAGGCTTATGACCATCCGGCTGAATGTTATGCTCCAGGCAATAAAGCTCCCAGCATGCATTCCCCATCTGGACACCGGCCTGACCGACATGGACGCTGATGCATTCGCGCTGAACAGTAAATGGAAAGAAGAGCGATGCAGTGAGGTACATGGAGTTGGCTGAATGAGAAGAGACAAAGGAAAGCAAAACTGCCTCATGAAGAGGCCAAAATAAGTATCATGAAAACTATTATTCCACAAATAATAAGCGAAATTGTGGCAAAAATACCATTTGTACAGTCCATGATGATTACAAAAAGCCTAATAATACGCGCTAAATTAAAAAAATATTTTTGAAGCACTCTTATATAATCCTTGATTGTCTACTGCTCAACACAAAATAGTTCCTGCAGCGAATAGTGCAAGTTATCACGTGTCAGAGTGTCGAGAAAAGTGCACAACGGTAACTGGAGTAAGTTTCAAGCAATTCTAGCAACATAGATATGAAGAGAAGCGGGGTTTCGAAGAATACCTTAATAGATTGATGGTTCATTTCGCTTGAAGAGGTGAGCGGAAAGTATTTGCAGATCGTCATCATTAGAAGCCTTAAAGTTGTGGCCGTAGATTTATGCGAATATGCTCTACGACCACATATCCAAGGCATTCAATCTTCAAGTTCCGTTGAGGTCGATTTGTGAATTCCTTCCACTCGCCTTCTGTTTGAGGATGAGGTGAGGCTCGGTACATCGTTCTTCTACATCGAAAAAGTACCACTAGGGCTTGGTCTGCGTTAACACAAACATAATAATAACCATATGGCATGATCAGACAGGTCTCACACTAGTAAGACGGCTAGCAGGGTAAAACTCAAAACTATATTCAAGTGTAAACATGAAAACTTCTGCTCTACTGCTTATTTTTTCACGAAGTGAGAACTAAGTCGGCATCGGCAGTAGCAGCATAGAGCCACCTATAGAGGGAATATTTCCACACACTTCCACAAATCCCTTAATCACGCATATATGAAGGAAATTTAGTGGGAGATCTATGTCCACTTTTACTTTAAAAAGGCATTGTGGATAACATTAGTGAAGCAGATATCAGCATGCACTCAACATCTCAGTTACATTAATTCAGCTAAATTAAGGGCAAAATTTAACCAGATCTATTTCAATATGGTGCATCTGAACACCAAAATAGCATGCCAAATTTCGATTAAGGTATTCAATTTCTCTAAATACTCCTCTGACTCATCGTTTAACAAACCGAAAAACAAACCCCGAATCAATGCCATAGGAAAGTGACTCATCGGTAGGGAGCAGCAAAACTGGTTGATATCGAGTATGGTTTTGTTGTTGGGACATGATACGAGCCAACTTACCGTTTGAAGGCATTAGAATGGGATACAGATCAGGCAAAGCACGACGGAATAAGAGCATGGAATGCAATGAGCAAAATACAATGAATAATACAACCAAGCAAGCATAGTAAAACTTACCATCGTAGATTGCTACTAAGATAAAGGTCTTTGAACTGTAACGATTGACCTACACTTCATGCAGGTTTTATACCAATTTGAGGTAGATAGGTTAGAATCCCCAGTCTAGCGCCAGGCGGCAAGGCCACAAGATTTGGCAGGCCTGACCGATTCTACTGACACTTGGATTGGCTGCTCTTCAGACGATAGACGAGAGCGTGGAAAGAGGTTTAGGCTGCCCGCTCATGTGCAAATTGCCAGTCAGAAGTGGTGAGACAACAGAGCCGAGGGGCGAACTTGCAGTCATATGATCAATAGGGAGTGCGCAATGGCTCAGCTTGGTTGCCTGTCTGAAAATGGTTGTTCGGCCATGAGACTGATGAGCCAGTTAAAAGGCGAATGGGGAATCGTCCAAGCTTGCTGCAACTCCGGACACGGGTCGACAGACTGGGACGCTTCTGAAAGGATTAGAATGCACCTGAGACAGACAGCCCGGGGATTTGGCAGGCTGGATACTAAAGGGGTCAGGGCAAAAGACGAGACAAGCATAGAAGAAATCTTGCCCCAGAGACAAAAATCCTGTCTGGTAGAGCAGCCAACCAGCGAAAACAAATGTGCCTAGACAAAGAGAAGGGCCACACAGTGACGAGGATTCCATAAATGAAAAAGCACCAAAAATGAAAAGGAACCATTTTCAATTATTTTTGGGAGTGGCTAAAAGTGAAACTTCGAAACTCCGGTTTTGTGAATTGCTGGCGAACCAACATTTTTTCAGACATAACTTGTAATAATAGGTAGATTTGTCGTGTTACCAGCAAACTTTTAAACACGTAACTAGGCTTCATTAATTCTAGTCAATTCTAATAGACCCAGTCAGGATGAGATATTAAGCGAAATTGCCAGATAAGGGTCAAATGTCAATTGATGGAAATTTTTCGCTTACATGACAACTTTTATTGTGATGATTAGAAAAATGAAAAGCCATGAGAACACCGTTTCAGCTAACTCATCAACAATAGATAAAAAAATCACTCGTGAATCTCATAGCAAGAAAAGCATCGTGCAGAAGCTAATTAATGAGAGCAAATCACAAATTTGTACATATATTTACAGGTAACCGACCTAACTCAGGCAAAGAATGATCTAAGACAGATACGCTCTCTACTGATAATTGTTACAAAATAGCATTAACCCCTCGCAGAAACGGCCTCAACATATATATATATATATATATTGTAGGGGAATGTTGACGCCACGTAACTATTGCACCAAGGAATTAGCATTGAAGCCAGATGGCGTAGTGCTAGTGACTAGAAAAATTATTATCATGTTTACGACTTGAAAAATGTTCTTTTATAAATTTTTCTATTCTTATTTAGCTGAGTTAACTTAAGGGCTCCCCACAATGCTATTATAAATTGGCTAATAGAGAAAATAAGACTACTGATTATAAAGGTTTCTACCTAAGGCACAAAGTGCATACAAATGTGACATTGTTGAGATTAACCCGAATTAAACGGCTAATATATGGATGAGTCACGTAACATTTATAGAAGGGACATGGAGTATTCAGAACCAAATTTAAATGATGCCAGCGGTGCACAGCTCTCCTGCAACCTGGTATGCGGGAGCAAAAAAGGTTATTATATTAATAAACAAAATACTCCGTCGTAAATCAGCCTCATCTTTAAAGCTAAAAAACCAAAAAATTTTGTAAGACCTATAATTTCGCACAAATAATGCCACAACGGTCTCAGTTCGAAAGTCACACAAGAACCGTGTTCTATATAAATTTGGATACTTAGCCTCAGAAATATCTAGTCTCCGAATCGACTAATATATTCATCCAACCTCATTGTAGGAGAAATCCACTTGCGCGACATTCTAAAGAAGAAATAGCTTCTTAAATGTGATGGAATGTGGTACGGCTATTTATTAAGTCACGAAGGTATGCTTGAAGTGAATCTATTTTGTCTGGAACCCTGTATAAAAATATAAAGAAAGAATGCACAAGATAAATCAAAAGTTGTAATCAAGAAATTTTTTGAAAATATTTCTCCACGAATGATACTCATTTTAGGCATCATTGATGGAGTAAAAGAAAGCTGTCCCAGGGGAATGACGATTTTGCTCGTGACTCATCTCCAGGTCTTCTTCTTCCGCTTCGTAAAAAAACATATATCCAGTGTGGAAAGGAAATTTCGCAATATACAAAATACACACAAATAAATATGTACACATGCACACATAAGTACTTTTACTCTGAGGATAGATTAAGTAGAGAAAAAAAGAAAAGAACAAATAAATTTAAATAAGAAAACATTCGTGTTGACATCCTGAATCTGGATGTTACTCTGATAGAATTGTGCCAGATACACGAGAAAGGATGTAAGGAACATGCATAAAGACGAATATATAAGAGAGAAGGAGGTAATCAAGCGAAATCCACTTGAAAAATACAATAGAAAGATTGGATAGGATTTTGATAGTGAAACAAACTACAGTACATAGCAGCGAGCACAAATCGACAGAAGATATCCAGTGATGAGGTTGTTGCCTATTCAATTTGGCTCGATGAAATACAGCCTTATCGAAAAAGAATTTTTAAAAGAAGCCTAATTAATAAGCACGAGGTGTCAGCATTATTGTGAATCCAAAGAAATGTGGCTATTTGGATGCCGGAACGATAAATCAAATATAATGTAAATTACTATGAGCAGGATGGCAAGAATGCAAGGAAGGTGTGGAAAAACGAGAGATTTGCATAGATAATGAGGACTAAAGTCCTGAAGACAGGAGCAAAGCATTAATAAGTTCGAAACATATGAAATAAATAAGGGTAAGGTTGGATCAAACACTCGAATTCGGTAAGAGGTAGATAAAGTTCGCATATAAGGATAGGCATAACCTAATATACAAGTTTACTAGCTGAGAGGCTGATAAGAACAGGGGCATTAGTTGCGAGGCCAATCGTTATTCAGCACGAAAGCACTAGGAAGAAATAGATGATGAAACAGATTAAGTCTCTTATGGAGGTTGGCAGAGAGTAGATAATACGAGTGAAAAAAGAAAGCATATAAACACTCATGGCAGTATAGGTGGGGACTGTGAAAATCACGGAACTAAAACCAATAGCTATGTAGTGAGAGAGGAAGTAGAAGAATGTTCGGAGCCGGGGTCAATATTTGCCGTCCCTATGGCATCCGCATATCTGTCGCATTCAGTAGTCTCGGCTGGTTCCCCGGATTTGGAAGAGTAGATGTAACGAGGGCAGCGAATACCGAGCACAACATCCTGGTCTACAACGACTTCACGAATCAGAGAACCAGGCACATCATAGCGAGGCTGCAAAAGAAGTCGCTCCTAAAACAGGAAAAAAGCAATAAATGAGGAGGGAATGGAGATGAAAATAAGATAACTATAAATAATGCAAAGTAAAAAAGTAATGGATTGTCTATGAAGCAGCTAAGACATTTACAAGGTATAAATAATAATTAACGAGTTGAGTAGGATAAATAAGATTCTACTGAAGTAGCCTTTGCTTAGTGACCAGAAGCAAGGCAAAGAGAATAGTGATTGAAGAGCGAGCTTAATTTTGATTTACAAGCCATGAATTTTGTTATTTGATGTACATGCATCTGCTAATTGTCATGACTTAAAAGTTAAATAATTAAACATAGCAAGATTATCAGAATAATGTTTTTTTAAACAAAGGGAATAAAAGAAGT